TTTTTTTACTTTTTTTTTTCCCTGAGACGTCTTGCTTGGTCACCCAGGTTGGAATATGTGGGGTCATCTCGACTCACTGCAACATACTTCCCAGGCTCAAATGATTCTCACGTCTCAGCCTCCCAGTAGCTAGAATTACAGGTGCCCATCACCATGTCTGGCTGATTTTTTGTATTTTTAGTAAGAGACAAGGTTTGACAATGTTTGGCCAGGCTGGTCTCATGTCCTGACCGGAAATGATCTATCTGCCTGCCTCAGCCTCCTAAAGTGTTGGGATTACAGGCGTGAACCACGATGCCCGACCAAGACTTAAGCAACTTTTAATCTTAGAGGTGTTAGGGAATAAAATAAATTCCTTTGAAAAAGTGGCAGGAAAATAACTAGATTATATCTCAAAAAGGGACTCAAAACCAGACTTGAGAGGTCATGAGGAGTGTGGATGTAATCCTAAGGAAAGGTTTAGGACCTGCCTTTGCAGGCCATGGTTGAACCTTTGTTTTCCATGTTTATGTTCCTTTTATCTTTATTCCTTCCTAAGGACAGTTTGAGTCCCACCCTATCTTCCCCAAGAGCTAAACAAATGTATTCCTACATAACTATGTAAACAAGTCTCTTAGCAGATGATGCTGATTAGATAACAGATAAAACAATTTGAACAGGTAGGTATATATGGATATAATCAGCAAAAATGGTAGGTAGTAGCCTATTCAAAGATCTGCATTTTTAAGAGGCTGTGATCCAAATTTGTGATTCTTGTTTTGGTATTAGCTCTCTTTGTTAGTCCTGCACATTTGCCAAGTCCTGCACATTTTACAAATAAAACTAAACTATATTGTCTTGGTTTTATTTGTACCCGACCATACAAAATGATATAAAAGTCCCAAGTAACTAAGCATGATTGATTTTTTGCAAGTGTTAATATTGGTAATCATTTTCTTGATCTTTATTTGCATATGATATGCAAAATGTTTAAATTTTATTAGAGATAATTTGAAATTTGTGAATTCTGGCTATTTGAATATTTTTCTTTGAATTGGGAAACCACTCATTTTGGCAATAGTTTGCTGTACTCAATTTTGAGGGCCCTTTGTGTTAAAACCAGATAACTAGTGAACTTAAGGGAATTAGTGAGATAACATTGTGTTAGTGTATGTCTCCTGTTTTCTACTTGTCAGAGTTTTTCCCCTCTGCTAACTTGATGCATTCTCCCAGTTTTTTCATTTCATTAGCTATTTTTGAGTTTGTTTTGCTTAACTGCATCTTGTATTCACTTTTCATATTTGGTGTCAAATTTGACTTTTCGGGAGCATCACCTCAATCATGTCAAAAGGGAAAAAAGGGGGTCTGAATTTTTTAGGTGAGAACTTCTGAAGTCTAATTCTACAGTATTTTTGAGCATTTATTTCTCTTTTGGGTCACAAAACTTGAAATGGGATTTGGGTATTTGAATAATGGATAAAACACATACATGGGTTAGTTCAGAAATTTAGTGACTTAAGATACTTATCAGGCACTGTTACAGAGTTCCCGGCAAGAGGCAGATTTGGTTTCTGGTTTCATAGAGTTTACAGTCAACTGAACAAGTCTTCAAGTAGCAAATTCTAAGTTGGGGATAGGTGAGGCTTCTTGGGTAGACACCCTGTGTTCCCGGCCAAGGCTTGATGATTCCGATAGATGTACTAGAAATGCTGGAGAGACTCAGGCAAGACTGGAGTTTTTGCTGCTCTCTAGTTTACCAGACTGGCTTTCAGAATTTGCTTTGGGACCAGAATCCAGGCTGCCGTGGGAGGGGCTAGGCTCTGCAAGGGGAGCACTCCTTCCCTTTGTACGTGCCATTTCGCACAGCTCCTGGAGTTGTTTCTTCAGTTGTGGCAGCTATGTAGATAATTTTCGTTTTATCTGTAAAGTTAAAAAGGGCCATAGGTGTAGAGGGAGAACAAGGGGAGTAAAAACAATGAAACTTGTTTAATCTGGAAAATAATACCAACTGAGACCTAAGATGTGCTGTATATATATTTTCCATCTCTGCCGTCTCTCCTGTGATTTAAATTCATTTTCCCCTCAATCTCTCTAATGGTAGTAGTAGTAATAAAAGTCCTAATGAATTAGACTATTGAGTCTTCATCATTTCACCTCTAACTTCTTTGTACATACAGTGAAACAACAGGGGAGATGGGTTTGTTTATGTTTGCAGGGACTGTGTTGCATTCAGGGAATAAGGAGGCAGGGAGGAAAGATCTTTGAGAAAGTCTAACCAAGAGAGTTTCCAGTTCTTCCCACCAAATCCAATTGTTCTACCTTTTTTCTTGCCCACAGTGTAGTTGGTAATGCAAATTTGAAGATAGCTTTGATTCCCGCACCTTTCTATACAGATGGGAGAATTCTCTCTACAGAATTCTCCCATCTGTATACAAAGGTGCAAGAAT